TAAAAGCATTAAAACTTAAATTAAATGAATTAAAACTTGGAAGTGTTCTAAGTTACAGCGTTGACGGTTTAATAGCTACAAATAAAGCAAAATTTTTTTAGTTCAATAATTTTTTTGAAACAATTAATTAATGTTAGTCTAATTTGTTGCTTGATAGCTTTAATAATCAGATAAAAATATCTGAATAACAGTTAAAGTATAAACAATTTTTTTTTTTTTTTTTTTTTTTTGAGAGGAACGGCGAAAAGGAGGATGAGAAATGAGCAAAAATTTCACTTTTTTCTCATCCTCTTTTTCACAAGGTGAATTATGTTTAAATACAGAAAATTTCAAATTAACAATGTCCTAAAAGTTGCTGTCTGTAAAATGACGGTAGACAACAGTTTTGGAAAAACGTGGAGAAACGATTTGAAATTTTACTATGGTACCAGTTTTTTGGTTGGAAACTTTCTTTTTTAAGACACTTAACTGATTGCTGAAAGCAAATGTACAGAATATCTTCAGTGAACTAAAAGAAATAAACTTGTTCCATCTTTATTTGCATCTAAAGAAACTCTAAACAAAATTTGTTGGCCCTTAGCAACTGAACTAATTGACCAAAAAAATTTTGGTTTACTAAACACAAAAGTCGATTTCGATAATCATCAAAATAAATTTTTGCTTACAAAATATAAAGGGAAGAAAAAACAGTTTACAGAACTATTAAAAAAAAAAAAATGTTTCAGACGTGGAAATGTCACTAAAATGTATAATAGACTGAAATTTTTGTTGATTTTAGGCATTCAGTTAACACTGCTCAATTTTTTCAACAAATCGTTTCAAAAGACCGAACAAATGACAGTAAAAAAACAAAATTTTCTACATTTTTAATGTTCTTTTGAATTCCGTCATTATTGCTCTCTTCCTCTTTTAGTTATCTAAACTTTGATAGCAAAAAAAAGAAAAAGACGCTGTGATTAACAGATTTTTATAACAATTACTGCTCTTCAAAGTGTTACAGCAAAAAAAAAAAGTTATTTTTGCTAATCAATGGATTAAACGAGAAATAAGCAGTCAACATTTATACTATCAGACAACAGCTTCATTGTCATCTTTTTTGATAACAGTGAAAAATATCGAGATAAAAGAATAAAGTAAAGTAAAGTAAAAGAAAAAAAACAAGAAAAACAAGAAAGAAAAATGTAAACCTCAAGAAACAGTTCAAACACTTCTTTTGCAGTCATTTTTGTTGGAATTTTTGACATTCGACTATTGAACTCATTTTCAATAATCTGTTCAACATTTACACACATTGTGGTTTGCATAACCTCTCGAGTTTTTGCAGTAATTTCTGCCTGAAAAAATTATGAAATAAAAAGAAATTTTCTTTTTACTATCATATTCTTTTTATTATTATTACTGATACTACTGATACTGCTGCTGGTGCTGCTATTACTACTATCACTTCGTATTTCTATCTGTTTTATGCTGTCAAAGACCGAAAATTAAAACGGCAAAGAAGAAATTGATACAAGCTATTGCCCTATTATTTTGAAAGCAGAAAAAAAAAGCTAAAAAGAAAAAAAAAGGAAAAGTATCATTTTTTCTTTAATAGAAATATCAGAATAATATTTAATAATACTGTTTTTATAAAGGTTGATATACCAAATTATGACATCAAAAATGTTTGTAGATGAAATCAACGACAAAACAATTTTCTGACATTAACTTTACTGCCACACACAAAATTAGGTTTAATAATTTACTGGCCCCTTAACTATTCAGCAAATAAAACTTATCTAAGGAAAACAAATTAATAGCAACATTATTGGGATATTTTCAAAAGTTAATAAAATAAAAAACGGAAACTATTTTTGTCATTCACAGCTCAACGTCAATCTGATTTGTAATTGCTGTGAGATAAATTAATTGCTGCTTTTGTCAGTGTTATATCCGCACATTTTTCTTCTCGGTTCTTTTTATGAATTTTAAATAGCCGTATTTGAACAATCGAGTAAATTTCAGAAACTGATCTACAATTCTTGTATTTACATGTTCTAGAAAAATTTTCATAAGCTTTAGTCTTCATCATTCATTTATATTTTATTGTTCAGTTACTATATTATCATCATCGTCATCATCATCATCATCATCAACGTCATCTTCATCACTGAAATCAAAAATTCTGTATTTGAAACTGTGTTGTTTAAGGTAACACACACAAAAATACATACAGTTGTCATCAGATATTCGTTCATTCGTAAGTGTTGAAATAGCAAAAAAAAAAACAAAGGAATTGTCATTTTTTCTTACATCGAACTCTCAGTTCCTTCCTTTTTTTTTTTTTTTTTTTTTTTTTTTTTT